CACATTATTTTTTCTTAAAAATATACATAGGATTAATCATTAGATTTAAATCTAACATTTTGTTCCTTTATCATAAAACATGTAATTTTTATTATTATTTTAAAAATTAGCTAGAAAAAAGAAAAGCATGATCCCCTTTTATTTATTTATTTTTTTATATTTTATATACTAATTTAAAAACAACATATGAAATGCATCAAGTAATTTCAAAATAAATTAAGGGGGTTTCGGGTGAGTCATTTACCTCATCGTCTAGAGTCGTTAAGGCGAAGTTCGTCGTTTCATCTTCATCGGTTTGCTCCTCATCATCGGATGAGCTCGATTCAACCCAAAGTGCTCCCTTCTTCTTTTGTTCATAGCAAGTAGTTGCGTTCTTTTTAAGTTTATTTTTATTTTTTAATTCTTATTTTAAAAACTTTTTAAGCTTGATTGTGAGAAGTTCAAATTCATCATCACTTGAGCTTTCGCTTGAGTGGTCCCTTTTTGTTCTAAGTGCAAAATCATTTCTATTCTTTGGAAGGTTGTTTTCAAGTTCATTTTGTACCATACAATTCATTTCATAGGTCATTAAAGACTCAATAAGTTCTTCGATCAGAAAATAGTTCAAGTTCTTTGATTCTTGTATTGTCATTATTTTTTAATCTCAATTTTTATAAAGTGAACATAAAACTTTATTAACAAGTTTGAAATTCAAAAAACTTTTACCAATTGCTTTAAAACTATTGATAATATCCGTAAAATGGGTGTTCATGTCAATAATAGTTTCGCTTGGTTCTATCTGAAACAATTCAAAATCATGCATCAAAAATTGATTTTTGAATCTTTAACTTTACTAGTACTTTCGTGTGTTATTTTAAGTATATATCAAATGTCAAAAGCTGCTTTACAAATAGAAACCTGATTGAATTCATTTTTGTCTAAGGCGCAAAATAAGGCATTCATAGCCTTTGTATTTAAAGAAAAAGTCTTCTTCTCCAAACTCTCATTCGAATTTTTCAATATGTGTAGTCCGTCCCATTGAACGTGGGAGGACGAATGACAGAGTGAGCCTCTTGAAAGCCGAAAAGAGCTATTTCTCTTCGATGTTAAACCAAATGAGAAAAACAAGGCTCTGATACTTAACTGTTAGGAACGAGTTGGCACTAAGCGGAGGGGGGAGAATTAGTGCAGCGGATAAAATAACGTCGATTCTGAAATTTTCGTACGTTCGATAAAAACCAATATCAGAAATGCTAAACTTTGAAAGCGTACGGAAGAGTGTAATAAGAAAGTAAATAAGTAAGGCAGTTTATAATTTAAAGTAAATTGCTCAAAAGAAATGCAAACCAGATTTTTATAATGGTTCGGTCGTCGTGACCTGCATCCACTCCACCGATTCCTCTTCTGTAGAGACCACCAGCATCCACTAGTAGTCTTCCTTCAATGGGTGAAGACCAACTACCCTTTTATACCCCTCTTCTCCTTTTCACAGGTTTAGGAGATAACCTTTTACCACCCTCTTTTATAAGGTATCCCTCACATACCTCCCTTAGAACTCTCTCTAAGCTTTAGGATGAGGGAACTCAACTTTCTAATAGGGTTTACAATAGAGTTTTGCTCAATCTTTCTTCCTACTCCATGCAGGAATAGCTGGAGTATTTATAGACCCATAATGGCTACAAAACTTGGAGTCAAGATTCAAATCCTTGAGATTTCGAGGTACGGGCGGTACCACTGCCTACACTAGGCGGTACCACCGCCTGCAGCCTAACATTGGGCGATACCACCGCCTAGTCTAGTGGTACCACCGCTTGATAGTCTCTCGGAGACTATGTCTGGGTGGTACCATCGCCCAGACTGGCGGTACCACCGCCTGACATAGTCTCGGAGACTATGCTACGACGGTTTCACGTATTTGGTCACTATTTGAGCCTTTCATTTGGCCCAACACAGTCCAAACTTGGGCTTAGTTGGCCCCTAATTGAGTTGGCTTAATTACATTCTAAACCGACTCAATTAGACTCTAAACTAACTCGATCTAGATATAATCGATTATAAGCGAATCCTTGTTGTCCGGCATGTCATTAGTTCATCCAGCGCTGTCTAATCCTTCGGCGCATCGTCCTCTCCTTCGGTGTATTGTCTAATCGGCATGTTGTCTTCTCGCAACATCCAATCTTCTTGGCGCAATATCCGATCTTCTTGGCTCGATACCCGAATTCACAGCCCGAAGCCTTCTGCCGATACGTCGAGCGTTCCTCCGACCCGACGTCCAATCTTCTGACATATTTGCTTCGGCCCAATATTCGATTCCTCCTACTTTAATCAATTTACCTTTTCTGATCGACTTTAGCCCTGGGTTACTCAAAATGCTCATTAAATCACAAACACATCAATTGATTTCATCATCAAAATCCGAGATTCAATAATATTATACCAATTTATTTAGTTATAAGGATACCGATGAATATACTGTTAGCATAAACATTTTAAATTAAGAATTTAAATTTAATGAAGTTAATAGAACCTATACTAAAGACTGATGAAGAGGGTGAGACAACCGTATAGAGTGTGCTTTTGGCCATTCAGTGGAGTGGCTGAAACCAATGGGGGTCAAGTTCTTGAGACTTTTTGGAACTTGACTTTGACTTGAAAAAGTATGTGAACTTACAAGAAATAAATAAATAACAGCATCGAGGAGAGGCATTTAGTGCAATCTTCATAATGTAATCTAATCTGAGACCGGCACCGAAGACCAATTTAATCTTCCTCCAAAGGACAAGTTTTTGCAAGCAGGGATTTTGAAAACTTCAGTTTGCAAACAACACAGATGAATCCAATCTCTGAGGTTTTAGCAAAATGGCTGGCAGATGTGTGCCAACAACCAGAGGCACAGATGAACAGCTATTGAACATAGAGATTCATATATGTGAATGACTTCCTGATGATGTCAAACATAGCAGGAAGAGATCAAGCATGCATTGTATGACAGACTAATCACATGCTCCAAGTTCACAACTGGGTCTTGGTGTAAACACACAACAGACCTTGCGGAGATGAGGATGGAGAACATTGTAAGATAGACAAGTTGTGGCCAGCAGCTGCAGAACATCACGTTTCTTCACAACCACAGGATTAATGTAGTTCTCCTGCTTGCTCAAGAACTTTAAGCTTTTTTCATCATTTGCTTTTCAGTGAAGTTAGAACATCAAAAATCCTTGGGTTCCGTATTCAACATTGTCCTTTCCCCCCCACGATTCTAAAGGAAATTATACATTGATTTGACACCGTTAGGAAGAATCATCCAATGAAATTGATCTGCCAATCAACAAAACGATGAGAATAAACATACCTAGCCAAGTTTTTGATGGAATAAAATCTCATAAAAAATCAAAATTAGGCAACAAGTTCATCTTAATATCACCATGAACTAATCTGAACAGCTTGGGAGATATCAAGATGGTTCAACCGGCAAGTTCCAAGAAGGACCTCTGGAAGCTCTTCTTGTGTATCACCCTGCATGTTACCAACATGAAAAGGTTTTTGATACAAAAGAAAATTATTTTTCTCCTCACATGCCTTGAAGAATATTAGTTTCATCATATTCAAATTAAACTTTTGATTGTTTTGTTGCTTGTTTCTTTGGTCATAGACATGATCTGACATTGGTGCCAAATTAACATATATAACCTGATCCAGGCAATTTGATAAGAAAGAATTCATACCTGAATCAGGAATGCCATTTCGATCACCAAACTATTCAAGTAACCAACAACAAGACTGACAACACCCTTGGCGATTGATGATGAACCAACATCGATCGCGAGCTGGATATTCACATTTATACAAAGTATAAGCTCCTAGAAATAATAATCCAAGATGGAGTAGCTTTAAAATGTGCATCAAGTCATCCCATCTCAGAGGATTTGTAACATATTCTCAAGGTGACGATCATTTGAAGAAAAAAGAGGCATGCTTAGATAGAGGACATTTTTAACCAGTTTTACAGTACATGCATGGATGTCGTCTTAGATTGTTTAATAAGGTAGGAAAAACATTTCTACCACATATTGGCAAAGATTATTGCAAGTCATACTGCATTACATCATGTAACCTAAATTGGATGCACCCACTATTCCCACACCATCTTTGAGTAGCAATATTACCTTTGGCTCCAAGAATTTTAGTTTCCAACCATCCAAGAGAATTAAACTTAGCAATAGGTTAAATACCCACACATATTACTAAATATAGATATTTTCCAAGAATTTTGAACAGTTAAGTTTGGTTTTCATCTAGACTTTACGGTTAAAGCTTATGCTTTTGGCAATAAAGTTTATCCAAGTAACCTTTCTGTTGCTAATATTTGAATAGATCCAAGAAATTCTTAATCATGGTTTGCAATTTTGCCGAAACAAATTGGTACCGATCATTATCCAGTACATGGACCAGGGTCTGCAGTACCAAACTGTACCGCCTGGTACGGGCGGTACGTACCTGTCCGACAGGTTACCGGTATGCGGATCATCTGTTACCGGTCCGAGTGCACTGTAGCACTGTACTACAGTACTCGGCACACCTGAGTGTACCGCTAGGTACACCTGGGTGTACCACTCGGTATACCGTACCGTACCGGTACCGAGCCCAGGTCGAAATACCGGTACGGTACGGTATTGCGAACCTTGACATGGACCACTCCCATTTCAGGCCGTTCGGTTTGGTCCAATTAATATATATATATATATATATCCTCTCCATTTCGATGTTTGGAGCATCAAAATCATGAGCCCTCCACTCCATTTCAATGCACAAAGCATCGCGCCAGCTCTCATTCACTGCCACCAACACACTTACTGCCTCCCATGGACCTCTTTGCAGGTACACTTTCTCCTCCTCTTCCTCCACCGCCTCCCTTCTTCCTTTATCTTCGTTCTTCTTTTTCCCTCCTCCTCAGCATTCGTTATCATGCTATATTCTAGCATACCATGTGTAGATACACTAGATTGGACCAAACTTATACTAGTCCGACCATGGACCGGCATAGGTTTGATATCTGAAATTACATTCATGGATTTTGATCAGTACCTGAAATTGCATTTGTTGATCTTAATCATTAATTTTTGAAATGGGAATTGATGATTTAAATTGCAATGGGAATCATGCCTAGCGAGTATAATGAATCAACAAACACTCCATGGATGATTGCTAGAGTCACTCATAACACAACATATGCAGAAGTTGTCAACAAATATATGCATTAATGATATCATATTCTCATCTATAACTCAATAGTACCAGTTGTAAACACCTTGATGTTTCCCTAGTGTCAAAAGGGAATTACCTAATGCAAAAAGCTCTAATTGGCATTGTGCGAAACTTTGATGTAGCTAGCAGCATATGTAAGCTTACCTCAATGTAATTGCTCCCGTGAAAATAATTGATTTCAAGCGCTTGACCGATTAGACATGCTTTCTTACCAACACTTTGCTTCACTAACCATGAACCCTGAAGCACCAAAAAAAAAATCAAACATATAAGAAAAAAATAATGTATAATTATAATAACCAAACAGATGATAGCTTGGAACCTATTAGTTTCATGCGTGCATACCTTTGATATACATGGGATGAGTTTAAACCTTGAGTTCCTATATGAATCATCTCCTCTCACAAAATTTTTAAGAAAGGGAACATTTTCCAATGGAGTGTCCATCATATAATATAAAGCTAGACTGTATGTGGTCAAACCTGGGACCTATTTGCATAGACTATGATCAGAAACTTGGATATTAAGGATTTACTTTTTGGCACAGGAGACTGGTATCACCTCCATGAATTTAGAAAAATCAAGTAACATACCTGCATGTGCACAACAAAGAAAAACTCGCTGCCACCTTGTGCTGCATATTTCTGCAAGATTTAAAGTTTAGCTTTTATGACAAAGAAATTCCAATAAGAGTATAACTATTGTGTATTATAAGTGATATCTAGAGATACCTGAACAATCCCCCCAGTTCGATTACCAACATTATCTTCACGCTTGTCTGATTTCAGCCAATCAGCAGCTACCATCTGCATCAAGGTAGTATTGGCTTTTACCTACATAAAAGTTAAATTGATAAATACTCTTGCAACAATTCAAATTCATAAAACATACGTGATAACAAGTTTCAGCATGTTATATTAGACGAATCTAGAAGAACTGTCACAATTCAATGATGATAGTGCACACTAGTGGTGCTTGCTGTAGGATGTGCTTGAATGCTTTGAGCATGCAGAGAGGAAAGCCTTCTTGTTGTTTAATGTGTGTGATGATAAGTGGTATCATGTGCATTATTTGGAAGTTCTGTTATGAGTCTAAAGTTGAGGAGGCTTTGATAATGGCAATTTGATGTCTAAAAGAACTGGTAAACACATGAGTGCACATAAGTTATCATGTGTGTAGAATAGATGATCTAAATCACTGCCTAAACTGTAAGACAGTCTAGATAATCACCTAAGCCTCCAGCTGCTTAGCTAATGGTCATATATTTCAGACCTTGTTGAGGACAGGTAGCTGACAGCTACTGACAGTACTGAGTTCCAAAATAGTGTTCTGAAAGAAGGGATCATCACTGAATCATAGCATGTGAACAAAGAAGGGGCATATGCTGATAAGCAGGAAAAGTTGGGTGGCCAATATTTTACAGGTAAGCATTACTTTGATATCTTTAGCCCAAAAGTTTTGAGTGCTTTCTCATCTTGTCCAAATATTTGTTTGAAGGAAACAAATTTTCAAGCACATTACTTGGATTTTCTGTTTCCCAAGGAAATATGATCTTGACTAATGTAATTGACTATCAAACAGAAAATAAAACAATGGTATCCTCTCAATTTATGATCACTAAGGATGATGGTACTTAATTTATATGATACTGCTTTGATTAGAATAACCACAAACCTAAGATTAAAAGGAATCTGCAGAAGATTTAGAATTCCTTAAGTTATTTCCCAACTGATGCTAGGAAAATGTAGTCTTAAGCATGTGATGATCATGCACTAAGTTTCGCCAATTGCCTAGCAATTTTAAGCAAAGAACATGTCATTTCTTCAGTTTTAAGTGAAACAATATGAACATGTAACTAAATAGGCACCTTTTGATGGTCGTGCAAGTAAGATTCACCACGAATTGCGAATGTAGAAGGATCTGCCATTGCCCAACTACAAGCCATTCTACAACTTGGATCTTTTGGAAGAGTGGTCCCATAGCTACATGGCATGCTATCTCCAATAGATTCATCTTCTAATTCAGCACAGAAATAACAAGTAAATTACATAAAATGCAACAGCAACTGTCAGGATAAAACAATGATATCAGTCTCATAAAAATCTAAAATAATAGTGTGGAACCTGTGATATCATGTAACTTCTTTATGAAAACTGCAGTTGTAGGTAACTTGTCTTGGCATTGGTCTTGAATTAACTGAGAAAAAAAATATCATGCAAAATATAAATAACATGATTTCCCAAGAAGAGAGCAGCATGAACCAAGAAAACATGTTTGTGCAACTTCATAATTTTCTGGAGTATATAACATTGTTATTTCAGCCATCGTGGTTTAAGATATGTGCAGTCTAATAACATAAATGTACAATTAACTTATCTTACTTGGTTGATCTTCAAGTACATGATGCTTGTGAATGCCCACAAAACATGTACCACATGTGATCAGGAATTATATAGCCATTAAATTTTGCAAGTGAATCATTTCGATACTGAATAAACTGGACTTTTTTACAATCAAAGATTAAAGTGCAGTTACATACATGAGAACCACGAGGCATTCATCTTTCTATCAGACTTCTCTAGGTCACTAATGCAATATACTTTACATATCATATTAGATCTTCAGTGAACACTGTCAGTTTTTGGAATGGTCCAAGGCTACCAGTCAATAGCAGCTCAATTCCTTTAAGTACTCGATGAGATTCATGATAAGTTGCATTCAACATGTTCAAGTATATAAAATATGACCATGGCAATCAATAATAATTAACATGGAATTTATTATTTTAGCATGAAACCAGAACATGGGAAGGGTATCACTATGGATATATCTATGAAATTCATATGAGCAACAGCATGATGTGGCATGAAGATATGAAGCACAGAACTCACTGTGTCATTGTATGGATAGCATATGGATGGCATGAAGCACCTCCTAGTTATCACCATACCTGTGCAGCTGTGCTAGTAATCACTAAATCAATAACTACATCATTATCTTCATCACGGCTGATTTGGATTTCTTTCATTACTTCTGGTCAGCAAATTAAACTACAGCCAAGCCCAAAAAGAAACTACAAAGTACGAACAATTACTAGGGACATAGATGCTAGGTTTAAATGGATTGAACAATTACTCTGTTTGAGAAGGAAATCAGCAAATCTCAATATTTACTAATTCCCAGAGAGGTGGACGAGGAACAAAAATAGAATGGTAGAGAAGCATTATCTGCTTTCCAGCAAAAAAACATCACATGACGAAAGTCTAACCTGGGATTGCATGCCTTCATCAGAAGGACAATAGTTTTCTGTTTGATCATACTCTGATTCAGTAAGAACATCAAAGAATTCATCAGCTGCATCATTCAGTTGATTTGATGATCCATTTCCAGGATGTCTGGGAGGAGACATTTGTGACTCTTCTACGAAGTTTTCAATTTTACTATTCTCATCCACTGTTTGCATGTCTAGTTTAATTTGTTCCTCAATCTGTGGCAATATAATCTCTCTTGTCAGACCATCTAATGTGAAATCTGAGAATGCACAGTTACCAAGTTTTGCACGGAAGAATTCTCGAAGAGCTGCTCAGTACATAATTGAAAGTCACATTCAACACACAATCAGAAATCATAAGATAGAGGATATGTTATTGGAAAATCACAAAAGTATTTCTCATGATAAAAACAATACCTGCAACCCTTCCTAGCATCTTCATTGTAATACTTGCATATGAGGTAAACATATTTGATTTCCAAAATTTCCAATCAATTGCAAGCATATGCTTCACAACTGATTGTTTTCCTTGGTTCACGGGAGATATTTCATAGCCTCCACCTACAACAGGCAGAACAAAGAACAACTCAAATATTGACTATAATTAATCTTGCATGCTTATGGCAATTTAACCCAGTCTTCACCAAAGTTTCATTGCTAAATAGTAAGCATACGTTACTTTTAAGACAAGCACGGACATAGCCTCTTTCAGGTTGGCATTTATAGTGGATCACTGAGTGGTATAGGATAACTGTTCAAAATTTTAAAAAAGTAATAATTAGTTCATGGTAAAACTCTGGTCATGATTTTTTTCAAGAATTAATAAATTGCAATACCATATGTTCCATCATCTTCCTTCCTCCAGGAACGCTTTAATATTAAATCCCTTCTTTTCATTCCCCTGAAAAATCAATGCAATAGTATCGAGCAAGAGGTGATCAGTTACTAGCAGACAACTCAATCTTTAAAAATATTGGAAACCATATCTAACCATGGTAGCCAATCACCACGCAGCTTCTTGTGGATAATATCGGTGTGTTCATCCAAGCTCTCAACCACATTACCCTCCAACAGGCAAAAATCCCATCTGCAAGATATTTAAATGCTTCGTTTATTAGAAAAAGTACAGTAAAACCTATGTTTAGTAAATTGCATGACTCAATTATGAATTTGATTTCCTTTATTCGTCCCTCTTTGACTGACAGTCACAAAGCTTTCTTAAATTTTGAAGACCTGGTACCAGATTGCTCTAAATCTGCCTGTTATACATAACTGTGGTTTCCATTGTATACCTGTGGACTAAAGAATCCTCTGATTATATTATCACAGAGGGCAATGATTTTGTCGAATTGCAATTTTTTCTGTCCAGTGTTTTACTTGAATCAAATAGTAAATCACCATGGCACGAATAAAAGAGCACACATGATGTCATATGACATAAAGCTCTGGACAGTTAGAAAGTTGCAATCTTACTCTGATCTTGACTGTCCAAGAGACATCACTGTCTGGAAAATGGCCTCAGAAGATGCATCAATGACACCGACTGCCATCATACCTGGATGATCATCCCTATGCTGAGGAATGTAGAATTTTTTTTAGTTCACCAAGAAACCCATGATCATGCCTCTTTTGGAGTAATATAGATACCTTGGTAGGAGAACCAACATCTTTTTCTTCTTTAAACAGCCGTAAGCCTATATGAAAAAAAATATTTATGTCTTCTAGAACTTCAATTAGAAAAATAAAAGAAAATTCCAAGATATTACCATTTTTACAGCCAATTATCATCCACATGGAAGGAGAGATGGCATCAAATATCAGTGGATCAGCATGGATACATGAGTGAACTGTCCAATCTAGAGAGTTTGAACAAGGTAAGAAAGTATAACAACTAGGTAGAAAGAGATTGGACCAAGCCAATAAAACCTGCTAAGGGATTGACAAAATAATATGAACTATTTTGTGTGAAAAATAGATCGGACCAAGCCAATAAAACCAGGCTTACCTATGGAGTGCATGCGACTCCTCACATTCCTGTGGTTCAACCTGGATATTATGATACTAGTCAATGAGAACTGCATAAACAAATGCTTTAGCAGCATATATCCTAAAACAAAAAGCTGACTTATAACATTAGGAAGCAAAGGTTAGAGTCAACCATCATGCTTCATGAGACACAAAAGAACCATGTATGCACATGTCCTGGAGTGCACAGTTCTAGCCTACGTAATATTTGGCACCATAAGGATCTTGAAACTTTTAACAGAGACTGGTCTGGAAGACAACGTAGATTAAGATCACAAGTACTGCCACAAACCTTCATCTATGGAAAATTTCTTTGATGTAGCCACTACAAAATAATTCCAACTCATGGAAGGATAAAGGCCATAATGATATGTTACCCTGTTTATAACACAAAAGGAGACCTAGAGAGAAATGAATAAAAATTTGTTTCATTTGTTTTGACAAAAGATCATCAAAGTTTAACAGTCCAGGTACTAGATCTATCTTAATAATAAATATGAACTAATAAATAACAACTAAAGGAAACCAAACAAGTAGCCCCATGTTGGTTGAGAATCTTTTGTCGATCTATGCGAAACTCATTTTATCCTAGTCCTTCCGGACAATTCAACATGAATACTGAAGCTTATATAAATCAGAATTGGCTATCACTCAACACAGAGAACCTTCAAGTTACTAAAAACCACCCTTATATAACATATGGCATTCCCCACTAAGTAGCCTTCCGATTTTAAATTTATTTTGTCAACCATAAAGCAAACCAGCTTAACTTTCAACTTCATATTGGATAAAGTTTTGTATATCCATAATTTAATCTGACAATATATACATGTATATAAACATATCTAACTTGACGCTGAAATATAACCAATTTGACTGAAGTCTGTGAAAAATCTTTTTCCATCACTTCAATATTGTTAATGTAATGCTTCTTCCATATCTACACTCACAGTTGTTAAACTTACGGAAGACCGAAAAACCAAATAACTGGGTCATGTCAGCCTGTATAATTTATCATGATTGATATTGTTGAACCTTGAAAGCATGATATGCAAACATTGTCTAGCTTCTGTCCTTTTTTATTTCCTCCATTTTCTTGTTCCTTCTCCTCATGCAGTGCATTTTGGTCTGGGCCCATGTTGTCATCAAAGTTCACTTTATTTTGTTTTTTGTTTTCCTTTCAGTTATCTCTTGACCTATTGCTCCAGCTATTGTTAAACTATATTTGTTGCTACCTACCATCAATATTTTCATTTAATTTCAATATCTTTTTTCTCATCATTTCACTTTTATTTTTAAAAATTCAGTTTTTTTTGTTTTAGGCTATACTTCTTCTTTTCCTTTCCATTTGCTTCTACCACTGAAATGATTTCTATTATTTTATTTGTTTTATCATGATTTGCTACTAATTCTGCTGCTGGTGCTTAAGTGCGTCTCATTTCTTTTAGTTGTGCTGTTACTGTTTCTGTATCATGGCATATTATTGCATCCTCTTGTTTTCTGAGTCATATCATTGATGTCACTTTCTCATATCTTTCTCTTTTTGTGCAATTACATAAGAATTTTTTTATTTGTTCTTTTCCTGTTTTCTTTTTTGCACTTGAGACTTAAGAGATACTGCTTCCTAATTATTATATTTTTCATAGATAGTCGAGCAATTGCATTTTTGTTTTCTTAATGAAGTAACATCTATTGGCACAGCTACAACAATCTGGCCTCGCTTTTGCACCTTTTTTGTTTCGTCAACTACATGAATGAAAATAAGAAAATAAGAAAATAAGGTGGTTATTTTGTCATTGAGATATTTTTTTTGAACTTTTTAGATGTGCCACCTAAAGTCCATTGGCTGGTCTCCTTGACGGTCTAGGCACTACTTAGGCAGTTAGGCTAATGCAGTCACAAGGCCACACCCACACAACATTGTCTCTTCCCCCTTATTTTCTTCCTCTTCCTGTATAATCTCATAAATTTCATGATGATGCTGATCTAATAGCCACTTGTAGCATGTAGAGCAGCATAGGAACTGCTAAATGCTAGACAAATTGGGCATGTAACCTAAAAAAACTGTAGCTTCAACCATGCGACAAGAGAGCAATGTTTATATGACCACAATGAACCAATAAGATTAGCACGCTTGTCAAAATTGAACTACTATTGCCCAACATGAAACTAGCTAAATGTAAAGAAATAGTGATGTATGACCTAAAGGATTGTCGTCTTCTCTTTGTACAAGCCACATTGTTTTCTTCTTTGTTTGGGTTCTCCTGCAAACACCAAAATATGTTATGATATATATGTTAACAAATATCAAAGCAACCAGAGAAGGCACCAAACCATAAATGCAGCTTCAATTATGTTTCTGATCCACCTAGCTGCTTCTTCAGAGCTCCTTGCGCCCAACTGCAGTATTAAAATAATCTCAGACCATTGCCAAATGACCAAAATCAGAACCGGAAACCAAGAACCAACTACTGGTACTTGTCGCTCTAGGCACAACCAATAACATTTTGTAAATATCATAACACATTTTGGTGTTTGCAGGAGAACCCAAACAAAGAAGAAAACATTTACAACCAACTCGTGCACCTTTAATTGATTGCTGGGATTGGAAGTGCTACAGATGGTAAATATATATAAGACCTGGCAACAACCAATAACATTTACAACCAAGAAACAAGCTTTGTAAAATTTTGAAATTGTGAAATGAACTGGAAAAGGTAAAAGTATGTTCTGCAAGTAAAGATAATCAGGGATCGCCTTTACATTTCTCTGTATGCTCTCTCGACCATTGTCTGTGATACGCGTGCTGGAACAAATCAATACACTTCTTAGAGGAACCTGAGAGTACAACAGATGCACATAACGAGAACTGATGAGAATTTTAGCATGATCATTATGCTTTTTCATGAATACAATGCTTAATAGTCAAACAGTTATGAGCCTATGCAGATATCCAAATGGAAACTTCACATGATAGAAAAGAGTCTAGAAAAGAGATTCATGCAATAACACACTGACCCTAACACTTACTTCCGCTACCAGTAATAATCAAACTTGAACTTCTAACAATATTGTCAAAACTCCGACTTCACAGCGCTTCCTCTTGTTTTCTTTTGCTTTAAATATCATTCAACCAAGAAATTAATCAAGAGGCACTTACTAGAGAACAAAAAAAGCATCTTTGTCTCTGAATTGGTTGTTCAATTGTATGGATTTAGAGCACATGTTCCTTTGAATGCCGTCAAATGCCGTTTTCCATTCGGCGACATTAAATTCAACACGATCAGAAATCAAACAGAACTCCGACAAAGAACAAGAAGAAACAAAAATGTCCATCATAGAAAGAAGAGCAGTGCCCCAAACATCTCTCTTTCCAACAGACCCAACGCTTCGTATTCAACCAATCGAAGAAAAGATTAAAAGATCCCATCTTTTTCCCTAACAAACAAACCAACAGCTAAAAAATCTTTCTCTCTCGTTCTTTATCCAAACGAAACAAGCAAAAACGCATGTTTCTTTCTTTTCTTGAACGAAATGGACGGAACGAGTACGACAAGACAAACCAAGAAATCAGTGGGGAGATGCGAGGGGGAGGGGTCCCGAGTACCTCTCTGTCGGACGCCGGCACGCCTTTGTAGCAATTGAGGGCGTTACCTTCGAGGACGAAGTATCTTTTCCGGGTGTAATGCAGTCCCAGACGATTGCACCGGACGAGCTGCAGCCACCCTTCCATGTTTCGATCCCCTTCGTCCCTCTTAAAGATACACCTTGGAAATCCCTCCCTCTCTCTCTCTCTCTTTCCGAGCTCAAATGCCTCAGAAAGGTGCGACCTTTTTGATATTCTCCTACCGCCGAGGAAGATGTAGGAGGTAGCAAATCCTTAGCAGCAGCAGCGACCGTAGTAAATGTTGAAGTTGGCAGCTGCGGGAAGCGAATCAATGTTCGATTACAATATGTGTTGCCGCCTTGCCGGTGGTGGTTGTGATAAACATGTAATCTTGTAAGAATTACAAAGAGGGAAGGAGGGCGGGAGGTGCCGTTGTAGTAGCAGTAGTAGTAGTATATATATGTCGGTGATGTCTGACGCCACCTTTCCCCTCGTCTCAGAGAACGAGAGAGGGGACTCAGAGGAGGCCCAATTAACTCCAAATTCCCACCACCTCCACCACTTCCTACACCACCACCAACCCTTCTTAAGCTCCTCTCCTCCTCCCTTCCTTGAATTGCTCAAAGCAATACAACCAATTCTCCTTCTCTCTCTCTCTCTCTGTCTCTGTCTCTGTCTCTAAACTTGTTGTCCTCCTCTGTCTGCTTCAAAAAAAGCCACACAATTGTAGGAGCTCCTGAGGCAAACCATGAGTTGGCCGTGGTGCCATCCTCACACGACTATTGCTTTTATTTGGCATATTAACTGTGACAATATCAAATCAAGACTGCAATGTCCCACCATTTGGATGAACAGGATTCAGCATCCATCCTAGAATTGCTCTTCTTTTTATGTTCTTCAATTATAACTCAAACAGGTAGCTACATTTTTATCTCTCTCAGAAGCCTCTCAACCTTCAAAGTTGACATGGACTCTTTTCTTCTTAGGAATATGTGTACTATGTGATGCAATAAAACTCTTTTGACTTTTTTACTTGAAAATACTTGTGTTGCTTCTAAATTTTCAAAAAATAACATGACTTTATTGTTTCATCTGACCTTCCACAAAAATTCTATCAAACTTAGACCAGTCTAAAAGTCCTCTTCATGGATCTTCCGATGAATCTCCTTCCACTAAAATCTTTTCTATCCTTAATTTTGTGTATAAATAAATAAATAAATGGTTTCTTTGTACTGGTAACATTCTGACACACAACTACTAGATTCTAGAGTCGGAAGACATGTACTCTGCTTCGTCTTTCTTGTCGCAATCAATACATGCAGTACATGGGTGTTGTGTGTTAAAAGAAGAAATCGAATCATCGTTGATGGATCATTTGTTTGCTGTGCAATGCAATGTACTGCTACATTTTGATCACTAAATTTTAGTGGTGGAAAAAGTCTTTGAGTTTGTTTAGGCAATAAATATCAGGGAATGGGTAACGAGGGACACTAATGAGCTGGTCTCCTCGGTCAAAAATGGCAAAGTGGTAGGTGCTAAATCATTGACCAAAAGGTCATCTCCCATATTTGGGAATGAATTCTTGTTATTAGTATGATAACGTGTGGTCCTCTTCCTCCTTAGATTCTTACAACATCAAAGTCAATGGCTCACTTCATCCTACCTGTAGTTTTAGGCCCATATTTATTTTATTGTGTGCCCTGTTATTTTATCAGGTTATTTATTTATTTTCTTAAATATGATATTATTTATTTTTAATAAAAAAGGGTATGTTTCGTGAATACACTAGAGGCTCCGATCGATATTGAATATAGAGAGATAATATATACAATTTTACTAGACAGATTAATTTTGTGACTAAAATCTTGATCTATAGATAGTAAATGAATAAACTTTGATAAGTATTTTATAAAATTGGTTTTAGAGCTAAGATTATTTCTCTCCAAAAATATAATATTTCAAAAAAGAGACGACAGAGAACAAGACCTTTTTGTTTTTTGTTTTTTTTTTTAAACTATCACTGGAGTCATAATCTGATCATCAGAACAAGCAAATGAGAAAAAAATTCACATCCAAATGTTTTTCCTATGAATTATTATCTCTCAAGAATTTATCCTAGTGTAAATTAGTATGCTTAATTGCAAAAAATATTGAGTACTGAATTGTGTTGTGTTATAAGCTATATAAAATGTCAAATGCTATCTTTGTAGTGGTATGCTCATTCGCCATACAAAAAATAAATTTAACGTGTATCATACGATACATAATTCACAGAAAAAAAAAAACGAATTAATAAGAAACATCTTATCTTATTCCTTTAGCAATGGGAGCATAAGAGAGACCATGAAATGTGATTTTTCTTTTTTATATCTCTTCCCAAACTAAAATAGATTGCATAGTCCCAGTATCAATAAACAACGTTAGATAAATCAGTTGTAAGAAATTTTACATTAGATTATAATGTGGTTCAATAATTTATATTTTAGTATAGAAAATTAGATCAATTACTATATATTTATATATATATTATATAGAAAACATGCCAAATAACTTTGAACAAAAGTACCTTTTTGCATACTCATAGAATACTTATCTCGCTTACCCCCATAATGATTTGGAGCGGGAGATGGGCCTTACCAGTGGGTCCCACGTGGGCCCTCTCTCTATCCACTCACAATAAAGAACAATAAGTCAATCGGGTGTATAAAATTTTACATTAGCAACTTAATCAAATAAGATTTCGATCATCAAATTATATCGTTTTAAGTATTTATATATTTATCTAAAATTCAAATCGATTGGAGGTATTTTATTAAATTAGATATAAGAAATGGCCTCACCAATGGGTCCCGCTTGGGCCCTTCTCTTTTCTATATATATATATATTATGATTTGGATTTTTTTATGCAAAATTGTGCGTGAAGGTTTTATGATGTATAATTGATGTCATTTGTTCCCGATGTAGTCAATCCAAATATCGGTATCGGGTGGTTCGTCTTAACTCGACCGATACAGAACCGTGACGGGCCGACTGATACAAAAGCGGCCGAACCCCGGGCCCGGACTTGGCTCAAGTGGCAGCTCTCAGCGCATCCTGTTCTCTCTTTCTCTCTCTAGGGTTTCGTCGGGAAGAGTCAGCGAGAGTCGACAGAACCCGAAGCGCGATTCGAACTGCCTGAGGTTTTATTCTCTCTGTTTTCTTCTTGAAGATCGGATCTTTATGTTCTTCTGCATTGTGCGATTGGCACACTTTTATTGTGGAAAACTCGCGGCTTTTTCTAACTGTTTAGGAGTTAGGGTTTTAAGGTTCGAGTACCCTGACGTTTTACTCTTCCCGCTGTGGTATTTTTTGCTTTTTATTCCCGAAGATTGGATCTTTGTGTACCTTACGTTCTCTTGCATTGTGCGATCGGCACACTCTTATTCTGGATTCTTTGCTGAACTGCTGATTCTTTTGCATTTGTTCGCGGTGGAGTGTATAGGATACTTCTTTTGCGTGTCAATTGATCTTTCCGTTCGTTCGGCTAAGTACTCCCGGGCGGTCGTTTTTGCTGATTGATGAGTTGGGAGTGAGAGTTGCATGAAGACGCGATATGCGTAAGGTTTATTCGGGAGGTGAAGCTATCAAATGAGCCAGGAATGTCTCGGCGTCTTTCTGTTCCCCCAAGACATGGAATTTGAGCCGTAAAAATTGTGCACGTGGAAACATTATTTTGATTGCCTTATCGATGGGATACACATAAGGACTTTATGTTCCTTTAATGTGCTTCAAGAGTATATGATTCGAAATAGATCTTGTAGCGTAATCTTATGTCACCTGCAATCAGTTGGATTTGATTAGGACATTAGAGTAAATATTGTGACCATGTGGATCAGATATAGACCGACTAGGCGTGTTGTTGGTGTAAAAAGGTGTTCTTAAGTATCCTCTTCTACCCAACCCAAAGTTGTACTTTTTTTCTAATAAAAACTTTATCGTTCTTTACACTGGATGTTGACTGTTTTAGATCAGCAATATCATTGGTTTTTGGAGTGCATATTTACCAAAGACTTTTTTGGTTTAGTTGATCTTGGTTAGGAATGATAATAATGGGCAAGGTATGATTTCACCTGATTTAACCAACTACAAGTTACCTGAATCTGAAACAATCACATATATTTTAATCCAAACCTTTTGGAACTTGACTGAAGGGTGGTCATTCTCCAGTTTAAGCGGGTCATTCTCCCATCACATATCTGCTGCCATTGTTTTTTAACAGTAGAGTGACAACGTATAAGGTGCCAACAAATTTTACACTATTAATACTTGAATCCAGCTACCTTGGCACCTGGAATTAAACCTGATCAACTAACTTGTCAAATATCTAAATCAAGACTCAGGTACCCTGCGACTCAAGTCCATCACCACCTAATTAAAGGTTAACCAAAGCCGGATTTAGCGAGTCGGATAGGCCTAGGTACTTGGAAAAGAAACCTGATCCATTGTAACCTATAATCTTGGTTGGTTTCTAAATTGTCTAGTTTGAATGAACTTTGATCTATATGTCCTAACTGATAAAAAACAAAAACAGTTCAGGATATGCTTCTAAACTAGAAGTTACATTGCTTAGAATTTCTATCTCACTTTTTGGGGTTTTTTTCTGGGAAATTTGTTGGTCGGTGTCCACCAAAACTTAATTTCTGAATAATTTTTTGAATTTATTAGCTTTCTTGCATTTAACTTTATTATGAAAGACATACATTTGATCATATCATGATTGTGAACTCCAGTGTTTCTATTATCTGAACAATTTATATTTTAACTTACAGAAAAGTACGGTAATAATTCATGAAGCTCAAAAGACATGAAAACTTGATCCAACTACTTCATTGGAAATTTTTTTTACTTTTACTTTCATCTAAGGTATTAAACTTACTTGAACACTAAATAGGCTTGGCAGCCTTTTCTACATTGTGACTGCTGTGCATGTGATTTGAAGAATTCAAAGTTACTTATGCTAAGTTAATCCTGTAAGCATTTTGAGATTCAAACAGGTGCATGGTCTTATTCTGTGACATGTGTTTCAAATAATCTAAAGTTATCTATTCTGGTGATCCTTTGTAAACATGCACAGAAAAATTGAGAATCGAAACCTGAAACCTTATCATGATATTAATCTGTTTAAACCAAAAATGTAATTAGCCTTATGAAACATGTAAAACTAGTGAGATGAAAAAAAGTGAGTGGAAGGAAGTGATACACTCCATTGTTTAGAAAACATATCTGGTTGTTTGAGGCAGAAAATATGAACAAGAACCAGAGTCGTAATTAGCTTTTGAACTGATTTACCCATATTGTATGTGAAGAACATACCTTATCTTATCTATGTTTTTCATTTAGATTGCTTTAAAAATTAATGCCATACAACCACAAGTTCCATATTTATGCTAGTCACTCGGATAACTCAAACTTTAAAACTTTAAATGGTCTGTGCAATGTTCTGTTTCTACTTTTTTGATAGGATTAGAATATCAATAACTTTTCTTTTTTTAAAAAAAATTATATGGATGTAGAATTGCTTTAAGTAGTCATGTAACCTATTATATGTAAGTGAATAACCAAAAAATCTGTACTAAATCCCCAAATATGTAATAGTATTATAGCCATGAATTCGTTATTTCACTCAATAGCTGAAACCACTGAATATACATCAAATCTTCTCAAATTGCCATTTGCTTGAAATTTTCAAAATCCTAAAAGTAGCAAACTCTCCAAGACTATTTGTCGAATTTTGGTCAATTCTGGTTAATATCAATCAATTTCAGTTGAAATGGATCAAGTTGTTCCAGACTATTTCATTTTCACCTGAAACGCGGCCTCCTTTTCTATCTCAGATTTAGCTTCTTAAGTACCTCAAGAATGTTTTGAGGAAATTTTTGCATAATTTTTAGTGCAGATAGGTCCTCTTGGGTTTCAGTTAGTTCAAGTTAAATCTTAGGTCTACAATTGATTCATTCTGTTTTAAGTTTATCTTTTAAAATTCGTTTGGGGATTTTATTTAATGTTTTATGTAAGTTCCCTATTCATGAAGATCAAGCTTTTAATTGTTATTATACTGCTGCAAATTATTAGTTAATCTTCTTTTATTTGTTTTGATTTGCCCTTCCTGTTTCATTTTGCAGTAGGCCAATGGAGGATGAAACTAATGTATGTTTTCTATTCTGAAGTTTCTGCACTTTGTCTTTTCTTGCATGGATATTTATACAGCATGGCATCTTCCCGAACTTATCGTTGTTTTATGTTATCTAAGGCTTATCAAAGTTTGATATTACTCATTTTGTTTTAGGGCATTTGAATATTGAGCTGGGAGATGATAGTCTTCACGCTATCTATAAATTTGCATAATAACTAAGATATTTTGAAGAGCTTCAAATAATAGATATATGATAGAATTTGCATACATGATTTTGTCTATTACTTCTTCTAAGTATGTAGAATATTCTTTTGTTTGATGGCAAATTCCATGGTTGAAACATAGAATACTTATCTTTAGAATTAGTTATTCCAAGTATATGATCCTAAGCTATTATCCATCTGCGGTGAACTAATGTAATTTAACTTAATATATGTGTTTCAAGGTTTGGCATGTTTTGGCTCTAAATTCAGTTGAATGTGTTGAGAATATTTTATGTTCCGCGTTGTCACGAACGATCGTTGTGCACCCACAACAACTCCGTTCAACGAACCGTTCGTCGCTCTCATCTACATGTACAGTTGCTTGGCAGCATGTTTTGGCTTGGTTTTAAGTCCTTTTGCTTGTAAAAATGTAAGTTCGAACAAGTTGCAGCGCTACAGTGTGGTCGCTCACCGAACCGAGCAAAACAGCCCCGTTTTCGCGTGCCACGGGCTGTTTTCTGCAACCCATTGCTGCACGCGAAATGTCAGCCATCTCAGCACCCTAGAACCACCCGGGTGGCACCATGGGGGATGGGGCTTCGGTATAGTGTCGGGCGTTAAAACAATCTTTCACAAGTTCGCACGTTATATTGACGGGAACTTGTTGTCGCGCCCGGCATCCGGTGAGCAGTTGTTTGTGGACTTGGAGCTGTTCGTTCAACCCTCTAAAGTCCTTGTTTTTCTCCTCTCCCTCTTTTCTCTTGTGCATGCAAGGTGCTCGCTGAATTGCTTATAAAGCTTCTTCTTTTCGCGAGACGTCGGGACTTGTCCGTCGCTCGTTCTTCGAACTAATCAATTTTCTCTTTTACAGGTCCTTCGGGACCTACGAGAGGTTGCAAGTGGGCTGATCTTTGCGGACGTAAATCGTAAGGGCGAAGCGCGACTTAGGCAACGCAAGCTAAGATCGCATCTTTGCCGCAAGGGTGCCTCGCGACTTAGGCAACGCAAGCTAAGTTCGCGTATTTGCCGCAAGGGTGCTTCACGACTTAGGCAATTCCAGCTAAGTCCGTGACATTGTGGTATCAGAGCGGGCAAACACTTCGAGCGAGCAGCGAAGGAACTTAGCAACTTCGCTATGGCAAAGCATCGTGGTGAATCAAGCAAGACGGGGCAAACCAGACCCTTGCCCCAAGCAGCCGCAGGTGGGCTGCAAGTGCACACTCGCTCTCATGCTGTTGGAGCCGCTCAGGAGGAGCACGACAGCGAACATGATGAGCGAGAAGTTGGCTGCTCTCCGCGACGGAGGAAGCGCAATCTGGAGCGCCAACCGGGAAAAAGAGTCATAAGAAGAGACTCACAACGACGGAAACCCCCGCTTGGATGTTCTTGAAGCGAGCTTGGAGGAACTCTATTATGGCCAACGAAGGCTTATTGGGGTAGAAAGCTCGCAAGAAGAAGCGGAGTCCAGGATCGATAAAGTTGAGGCCCTAGTCGACCGATTGTCAGATGATACCAAAGACTTCGTGCAACACCTGCAGGAAGTTGTGGCGGAACTCACTTCAAGGGTGACCATGCTCACAAGAGCACTAAATGCGGGAGGAAGTAACACCCGCGTTGCGCCGCCACAAAACTTGAGGGCACCCGAGCCTCATGGTTATGGAGGGGCCAGAGATGCCAAAGAGCTCGAGAATTTCCTGTTCGACATGGAATAATACTTTCGAGCTACGAGGCCTGATTCTGAAGAAACCAAAGTTTCTATAGCAACAATGTATCTGAACGGAGATGCAAAACTTTGATGGCGAACCCGTTGGTAGGAGATCCAACAGGGTCGGTGTCGAGTTGACACATAGGAGGACTTGAAGCGGGAGTTGAGAACTCAGTTCCTACCGAAGGACACAGAGTTCGTCGCAAGAAGGAAGTTGAGACAGCTCCGCCAGAGCACTTTCATTCGAGACTACGTGAAGCAATTTTCTGCGCTAATGCTGGACATACAGGACATGTCAGAGAAGGACAAGCTGTTCAGCTTCCTCGATTGTTTGAAGTCATGGGCTCAACAAAAACTACATTGAAGGAATGTCGCCGATGTGATCGGGGCAATTGCTGCCACAGAAAGGCTCACCGACTTTGTTTCCTTTGAAGACCCGGGAAAAAGGAAACAATCTTCGGGCAATCGCCCTCCAAAATATTCTCGAAAGAAGGAGCTCGGGGGCGAACAAAGGAAGAAGAGTTCCCATAAAGGACCAAGCCCGAAAGGCAAGGCCCCAAAACCTGGCGGATGCTTCTTATGCGGAGGGCCGCACATGGTAAGGGAATGCCACAAAAACAGGCACTCAATGCTTTAACAGCTTTCATCCACCCCCCCAAATCGGACAAGGGCAAGGCTATCACTCTTAGTTCAAGTAGTTCTAAACTCAGCAACGACGGTGAGGAGTCACAAGGACCCCGGATGGGAGCAATGCGTTTGTTGAATGTCATGCGGGGTCAAGTGGGGGAGAACACGAAGACAAGGCTACAAAAAGCAGGAAGTGGTGAGCTGATGTACGTAGACATAAAGCTCAATTGCCAAACAACCCGTGCAATGGTGGACACGGGCGCTACCCACAACTTTATCGCCGATCGAGAAGCAAAGCGACTTGGGCTGATCTTGGAGAAGAGCCCAAGTCGAATGAAGGCAGTGAACTCGGAGGCCAAGCAAATCTCCAGGTTGGCAAAGGGAGTTCCTATCAAGATCGGAACATGGAGCAGGAGCACAAACATGATGGCGGTGCCACTGGATGATTTCCAAGTGATTCTTGGAATGGAATTTATGCACACGGCAAAGTTGGTGCCAATGTCGTTCCTTAACTCCCTATGTGTGATGGGAGGTGACGACCCCTGTGTGGTTCCCGTCTCTCGGAGAGGAGCCAGGGAACCCCAACATATATCGGCATTACAATTAAAGAAAGAGGTGCGAAAAGATGAATTAACATTCATGGCTGCTATGAAGCTAGAGCCACTCGACGAGAAGGCCATTCATGAACCTGCTGTGGTGGCGAACGCCCTGAAAGAGTTCACTGACGTTATGCCACTCGAGTTGCCAAAGACTTTTCCGCCATGCAGAGGCGTGGATCACAACATCAAGCTGGAGCCGGGAGTGAAGCCTCCAGCGAGACCACCCTACCGTATGCCCCCGCCAGAGTTGGCAGAACTTAGAAAGTAGTTAGGTGAACTGCTAAGCGATGGTCTCATCCGCAGTTCTAAAGCACCATTCAGAGCTCCAGTTCTCTTCCAAAAGAAACAAGATGGGAGCCTCCGACTATGTGTTGATTACTAGGCTCTCAACAAATTGACGGTAAAGAACAAGTATCCCATCCCGCTCATCGCGGACTTGTTCGACCAGTTGGGTAAATCCAAGTATTTCTCAAAACTCGACCTTCGGTCGGGGTATTGGCAGGTGCGCATTGCTGAAGGTGACGAAGCGAAGACTACCTGCGTGACCAGGTATGGAGCGTTTGAGTTCTTGGTGATGCCTTTCGGCTTAACCAACGCTCCGGCCATGTTCTGCACTTTCATGAACCAGCTATTCAAGGAGTATTTGGATAAGTTCGTAGTCGTCTACTTAGATGATATCATCGTCTACAGTCAAACGCTCGAGGAGCATGTCAAGCACCTTCGGACAATCTTCAAGGTTCTCAGGGAGAACACTTTGTTCGTGAAAAGAGAGAAATGCTACTTTGCTCAAACGGAGATCTTATTCTTGGGGCATCGAATCGGTGATTGCTCTATTCGGATGGACAAATCGAAGGTGCAAGCGTTTGCGGAATGGCGAACTCCAAAGAAGGTGCCAGAGTTGAGATCCTTCCTTGGTTTCGTCAACTACTATCGATGCTTCATAGCGGGGTATTCGAAGCGTGCAACTCCACTGACGGAGTTGCTGAAGGAGTAGCCTTGGAGGTGGTCTGATAAATGTGAAATTGCATTCCAAGATCTGAAGGCTGCTGTGTTGGAAGAATCAGTGCTCAAATTGCTAGACTATGGGGAGCCCTTCGAAGTCCATACATATGCTTCAGATTTCGCTATTGGGGGAGTACTCATGCAGGAGGGTCATTCGGTGGCCTATAAGAGCCGCAAACTCAATGAGACCGAGCGGCGGTATCCGGTGCACGAGAAGGAGATGACAACGGTGATCTACTGCCTACAAGTTTGGCGACACTACCTTCTTGGATCGCGATTTGTACTAAGGACAAACAACATCGCTTTGAGCTATTTCCAAACTCAGAAGAAACTCTCTCCAAAGCAGGCACAATGGCAGGACTTCCTAGTTGAGTTTGATATGGCAATGGAGTATAAGCCCGAAAAGGCGAATGTCGTGGCCGATGTATTGAGTCGGAAAGTGGAGCGTATGAATGTCGTACAATTGGAGGGCAGAGGCCAAGCAAGTCAGTTGCACTCCAACTTCCTTTCCAGGATCAGGGATGGACTGTACAATGATCTCCAGACAGAAGCCCTGATACAGCTCATTAAAGAAGGCAAGGCACGACGGTTTTGGGTCCAGGAGGGACTCGTTTACACCAAAGGGAATAAAGTCTATGTTCCTTGAGTGGACAATCTGAGACGTGAACTCTTAAGAGAGTGTCATGATTCCCTTTGGGCTGGACACCCAGGCATTCATAGAACCTTGTCTCTCGTGGAGAGGGCCTTCTATTGGCCGAAGATGGGGACTGATGTGGAGGAATATATTCGAACGTGCCTCACTTGCCAACAAGACAAGGTGGAGCAACGAAAGCCTGTGGGACTTTTGGAGCCGTTGCCCGTACCAGAAAGGTCGTGGGAGAGCATTTCCTTGGGCTTCATATCAAGCTCGCCCGCAGTAGGGAGACTCGAATCGATACTCGTGATGGTCGATCGATTTTCTACGTATGCAACTTTCATTGCTGCTCCCCTACACTGTTCAGCAGAGGAGGCGGCCAAGCTGATGATGAAGGATGTGGTGAAGTATTGGGGAGTCCCGCACAATATCATTAGTGATCGAGACGTTCGGTTCCTGGGACGATTTTGGACCGAGCTATTCAAATTGTTGGGGTCGAAGTTATACTTCTCCACAAGCCTCCACCCCCAAACGGATGGTCAGACTGAAAGGATAAATTCGCTCCTAGAGCAATATCTTCGACATTACGTGAGTGCCAACCAACGAGATTGGGTGAAGTTGTTGGACATTGCCCAATTCTCCTACAACTTGCAGCGGAGCTTTGCATCCAACAAGAGCCCCTTCGAGATCATTACAGGGCAACAACCATCAACTCCTTACACCATGGTAATTGGGTATACTGGGAGTAGTCCGTCAGCCTATCACTTTGCAAGGGAGTGGCACCGAAATGCAGATATTGCGCGGGCTTACTTGGAGAAAGCGGCAAAAAGAATGAAGAAGTGGGCAGACTTGGGAAGGCGGCCTGAAGAGTTCAAGATCGGCGATTTGGTGTTGGTCAAGCTCCAACCAGCATCACTCCAATTCTTTAGGAACAAAGTACATAAAGGATTGGTGCGCAAGTACGAAGGGCCCTTCCCAATTATCAGCAGGGTGGGCAACGTCTCCTACAAGTTGCAGTTGCCGGCGTGGTTCAAAATTCACAATGTTCTTCACGCCAGCAACTTGAAAGCCTACCACTTGGATCCGCAAGATGCTTCCCGAAGTGTTCCAACTCGGCTACCCCCCACCACAGCCTCCTACGAGAAGCGAGTTGAAACCATTTTGGCGGACCGCAAGATAAAGCTACCCATTGGAGCTAAGCAGACCGAGTACTTGGTGAAGTGGCGAAAGCTTCTCCGAATTGAAGCTAGTTGGGAGCCTGAAGACACCCTACGACATGAAGAAGCAATCATCAACAACTATCAACAAGCATCGACGAGTGCGTCGACAATTTGAGTGGGGGAGAATGTCACGAACGGTCATCGTGCACCCACAATAACTCCGTTCAACGAACCGTTCGTCGCTCTCATATATATGTACAGCTGCTTAACAGCATGTTTTGGCTTGGTTTTAAGTCATTTTGCTTGTAAAAATGTAAGTTCGAATAAGTTGCAGCGTTACAGTGCGACTGCTCACCGAACCGAGCAAAACAGCCCCGTTTTCGCGTGCCACATGCTATTTTCTATAGCCTGCTGCTGCACGCGAAACGTCAGCCATCTCAGCACCCTGGAACCACCCGGGTGGCACCATCGGGGATGGGGCTTCGGTATAGTGTCGGGCGTTGAACAATCTTTCGCAAGTTTGCACGTTACCTTGACGGAAACTTGTTGTCGCGCCCGGCACCCGGTGAGCAGCTGTTTGTGGACTTGCAGCTGTTCGTTCAACCCTCTAAAGTCCTTGTTTTCCTATCCCTCTTTTCTCTTGTGCACGTAAGGTGCTCGCTGAATTGCTTGTAAAGCTTCCCTTTTTCGCAAGATGTTGGGACTTGTCCGTCGCTCGTTCTTCGAACTAATCAACTTTTTCTTTTATAGGTCCTTTGAGACCTGCAAGAGGTTGCAAGTGGGCTGATCTTTGTGGACACAAATCGTAAGGGCGAAACACGACTTAGGCAACGCAAGCTAAGTTCGCATCTTTGCCGCAAGGGTGCCTCGCATCTTAGGCAACGCAAGCTAAATTCACGTCTTTGCCACAAGGGTGCCTCACGACTTAGGCAATTCCAGCTAAATCCGTGACAGCGTGTCCTCTTGTATGCTAGTATTACTATGCCTACAACAGTATGCTTGGTTCAGAGTGAATTTGCTAATAAATGCAGGTCTAGGTGGAAGGTCTAGGCAATATTTTACCAATTACAGAAATGATATAGGTACTTTTGTTAATGCAGCTAGTCAGGGATCTTTTATGTGTTTTCAACTTCGTTTGCTTGTCTGAATAAGATATCAAAAATTGCTAGATCCAGCAGCGTGATTTATGATTCATTTGTGAATATTATCTGCAGTATCATTTCCTTAAGATGAGCATGATGCAGGGAATACAGAGGGTAAATGGTCTTTATGTGTGTTTTTAGGCAAATGACAACACAGCTTCTAATCTATTGAGCTCAAATAGCATTGATGTTGAAAAATCACATAATTCATGCATTTTGTTGATACAGGTCACCGTAAAATGTGATTACAGCTTAATAGCTTGTAGGACTGACTAGTGATTTTTTTGTGACTTCCTACATCAATTTCCTCCCCTCGACTAGTATAGCTGGAATTGACAAGCTGTGTCTCTTGCATGATCTTTCACATTCCAGAACCAGAGTTTTGAAACTATGATGTCATTCATAGATGGTCTTTAAGTTTGCTTGCTAATAAATTACATCTTTTCACTGGCAAAGGTGTTTGATTAGTTATTTTAACATTTTAAACTTATATGTTCAGGCCAAGAAAGAAGAGGAGGAATTCAACACAGGACCTCTCTCTGTTCTGATGATGAGTGTCAAAAATAATACACAGGTACGAGGAGTCTTACATGCTCTATTATGTTAATGTGGGGGTAGGGAAGAGAACTATTTTTGTAATTATAGGTCATTTGTATTAGTGTATGTTGGTAACTTGTTTCATAAATGAGGCTATTTAAATGGATGCATAATTGTGTTATTCTTCTGCATTGTACAAGATTATGTAGAAAGAATTTGCGGATATCTTGACAGCATTACCTTTCTAGGAAAAGTTTGGTTGCAGATGATGGCAAATGATGGGACACGTTATTTGGCAATTGTTTAAATGCAAGACAACCAAAATATCATCCTTTTTTATTTTGTTTACTGACTTTTAGTAACAGAACATCTTCAGTTGGCATCGTATGCTTGTCATGAATAATATCTTATTTTAGAATTTAGCATGTAATTAGGCAGCTATACTGAAACTTTGCTGCAACAGGTGCTTATCAATTGCAGGAACAACAAGAAGCTACTTGGCCGTGTAAGAGCTTTTGATCGCCACTGTAACATGGTTCTTGAAAATGTTAGGGAAATGTGGACCGAGGTAACTTACTAAATAATTTCACCAGTCGTCTCATTCCAGCATTTTCTATAACTTTTTTTTTTAATCATTGCAGATACCCAAGACAGGCAAGGGAAAGAAGAAAGCACTTCCAGTCAACAAGGATAGATTCATCAGTAAGATGTTCCTTCGAGGGGACTCTGTCATCATTGTACTCAGGAATCCCAAGTGAGGATCTGAGATTCGATGAGGGAATGGCATGTCACGTAGTGCATATTATCAGGTACTGATAAGTTTGTATGGTAAGAGAAGGATGTCTGGAACTGTTAGCTTGCTTTGGGGCTGGCTAGAAGATAAAACAAACTTTTAATGTGCTGAATCTTTTTTTTTATGTACTGTGTTGAATACAGTAGATGAGAGTGGACTCTGAGATCAAAATGATGATTTGTTATGGATGCCGATTTTATTTTATTTTTTTTAATGATGATTTGTTATGATGCAGATTCTTCATCACCACCCCGGTGCATCTGCTGATGACTTGCATGATGATACTCTTTAATGTTCATGGAAATCGCAGTTTTGTCCGTCATTCCTCGGAGAGTGATGGCAGATTGTTCTCGATAAGGTAGCATTAGTCGTCTGAAGTGACAAATAATAATACTTTCATGGCAACACAGATTTGGTATTGTTTCCTAGAGATGGCCGACAAATTGGATTTGCATGAAGCAAACAAGGTTGTGTTATCACATCGTCAGTCAGAATAATGGTCAATTATAAGAGGCGGTCAGTTGGATTTTGGAATGGCTTATTATGGTAACATTAATTGACAACAGAGAAAAAGGATAAAAGCGTTGAAATTGTTTGTTAAATGGTCATTGTATCACAGGAAAGACCACTGTTATTGAGTTGCATTATATTCAGGACGTGTGTCATAATGTATGTTGTACAGACAAACGAACAACATTACACACCCTTTGTTTATCATATCGTATCCCTCTGCACAAAACCTTGTTTATCGTATCGGAGATAAGAAGCTCGGAGCTTCGCTGCTGATAGAAACGCAAAGCATGGAGTGGATTGGAAGAACATGAAGAGTCCACTTTTGGCCACAAATGAAGGAAAAATTGAAGTCGCGGTTCTAATCATATCAAAACATCCCATTCCAATCCCTCTTTTCGATCACAGGTGGAGGAGACACACACTAAAAAGCATCCATCCGATTTCTCCACATCATGGATTCAGAGTGGAGGAGGGGGTCCAGGCTGAAACAGTGGTGGGCAGCAACTCGTAAACAATCCACAGCAGCAAAGACACCACAGGCTGCAATTTTTTTGTTTTTTGTTTTTGGAGGAAGAGACCAACCAAATGAGCAAGATGTCCACATGGTATGCCAGAAAGATGAAGAGCGACTGGTAGTGTGGTACAATAATACTCACCATGAATCCAGAATGCCTGCTGCTGCTGGTGGTGGTGGTGGTGGTGGTGCAGGTGGGAGGAATGGCACCTCGGGATCAAAAGGAGCAGGAGATGGTGGATCCATCAGAGGCTACAAGAAAAAGTGAATCAAAATGAAGCTGATGACATGCAGCTCAAATATGAATCTTGATCTCGCACCAACTACCTCCCAAACCATTCCGCCCCAGCTAACAGTCGGTGCATTGCTCAGAAGCTAACAACCAGTCATAAGAAGCAGATAAAAGCCCAATACATTTTGAAGAAGAAGAAAAAGAATATATATATATATATACATATATATATATATACATACATATATATATATANATATATATACATANATATATATACATACATATATATACATATATATATATATATATATAATATATATACATACATATATATACTAATATATATACATAATACTATATATATAC